AAGAATTTCTGGTAATAAAACACTAAATAAAATTTATATAATAAACTATCAAAAGAACCCATTATATCAAAAACCTTGAGCTATCCATTCAGTGTTTGGAGGACTAACCAGACATCAAACATATAGCGGGTGTTGGCGTTAGAAATGTTAAATCTATGTTTAATTCAATTGTCAATTCTCTTAACAAACAAATTATTTAAATTGTTAAAAGATCTGATTAAATGACTTAAGCATTTAAACGTCAATCAATGTGAGTTTGTGAGCCCAGCCCTCCCCTCCCCTTCCCTTCGATGTATGGATTTTTAATACAGATATAAACGGCACGAGTTGTGCCTCCAATGGTTAATATTGATTATTACAGTTATGCTCTGGTTATCAAATTGAGTTGTGTTTAATCGATATAACATAAAGTTGTCGTTAGGGAGTATAGCAACACAATATTTTGTAATTAATTTTAATTAATACTAATAATAATTATTAAGATTACCATTATGCGTTAAGAATAAGAATTAGACTCAATATACTGCCCGAAAATGTGATTTTTTGCTTGGTTTTTAAAATATAAATTAAATTTCAAAGTCATATCAATTACATGTTTTCATACAATAATTTATTATTATAATCGCTATGAACAGTGAATAATTTGCATAAATAATTGTCAAAATAATTTTATAATTTATTTTTTAAATTTTCAATTAATTTTGAGTAATAGTTATAATGCTTTTAAAGATTATTATTTCACACATACTCTCACTTAAAAATATAATTAATTTGTAATTTGATTTTAAACAAAATTTAATGAATATTTAGTTCTGTTATTCATTTTTTAATTTATTTTTCCAAATAGTAAATTAAATTACAATTAATTGCTTCATCTTTAAATAAAATGATAAAAAGTTTATCAAAAACAATAATCAGATAAACTATCAAAGTTAGGAACCAATAGATTTGTATGTTTTTTGAGTAAATCATACCAAAGAGGGGTTTGATTATTAGTATTCCCAATAAATGGGTGCCAATAACTTGGATCTAATTCTGGACGAGTGTTTTCATCGAGTTCTTCAACAATACCGATGGTATCGCAGCCGACATAACGGTTGGGAACAATACAATCGTCGTTATAACTGTCGCCGATATGAATACATTTTGGGTCAGATTTTAGGCACAATTTGACAGCAAATCGCTTCAAATCAGTCCAATTGCCCTCAGAGTAAAATTGTCCGCATTTCATGTCATCGATTGATATCTCACCGCCGATGTTATTGTTGGAATCAATGGCCAAAAACTTGCGGTCAGTCATAAAAAATGTTGGTTTACGAGCAAAAGTTACCATAAGATCGAAACAACTCTCCCATTGTTTCCCAAATGAATAATTCATTACAAACTTAACGGTTTCGACATTAGATGAAGTGACGAGAAAAACTAATTTCCCACTCTTTCGCAACTCTTTTAACAAATTTATAACTTTTTGTGAAGTTTTCAAATAATTTTTCTTAGGATTTTGGTGCAAATCTCTACTGATTGGTGCACTCATGCCTTTTCCCGCAAATAAGAAACACGAAATTTCATAAATATGTTTCCAGATTTGTTCATAATTAGGTCCAGTCTTTGTTTCCATGTTTTGTTTGTCCATCACTTCAACAGTTTTGGCGAATACTTGTGCCGAAGGGGTAGAGAAGAAGTCTCGGAGGACATGAAATTCAAAGCCAGGAGTAGTCTTAAGGCGATTGAAATTCAATAAATCCGGTATACGTTTGAGTTGTTCTCTGCAAAGCTTACCATAAACTTTATCAATGGTTTCTTTTGAGACATCATTGAATCCGTGTTTTGCAGTAATTATATCATAATTTGAATCTAATTTCAATAAATTTCCTCGTATTTTGTCCACAACTAACCCTTTTTGGCAATATTTCGGACAAAACTCTTGATAAATATCTTTGGGGTATTTATATCTCTCGACCATAAGTTTTTGGATTAAAGAATGTTGAGACGACATGATATGCTTCAGATTATAGCTAATCAACGTGTTGTCCATATCGATGGCAATCATGTCATAGGAATTCAAATTGAATTTAACCGATGCAACCATTTTTGAGCACATTTTACACAAATATTAATAATAAATTTCAATTATTTAAACAGAGAAAACTCTTATCGTCTAAAAATTCTGTCGACTTTCCAAACGTATCCTAATCTCCACTCTTCGAGACTTATCTTCGGAATGACTGTCGTTTCAATCGTTAAAATAGTTTTATTTGTTTTTTGTGTCCTATTTTAAGCGCCGATACATTTTCTACGCTTTTAAAGTAAATTAAAAACAAGGCTTGTAAGCAAAGCAACGAGTTAATCACAATTCGTGTTATAACAAAATAATAGAAATAGATCAAATATGTTTTAAAATAGTTTTAACATAGTTTTAATTATTTTAAGTTATAAACCACAATTCAGTATAAAACTTATGGCTTATAGAATCGAACCGCCCACCTTTACTTTCTCTCTCTCTCTCTTCATACACTGAATCACGTTTACGTCTAATACTTTTATTCTTAGATCATTTTACAAGCAATTAATTGTCTACTTCTGTATTATATGAACTCACAATCGGTTTTGTGTTATCGGTTTATTAGTTTAGCAATATAAAATGTAACCAGGTAACAACGCCCTTCGCACCGGTAACTTTTTAATTATTGCCACACACTATCAGTATATCAGTATAAGTTACCAATTAGTATCTCTGTCCCCACAGCTCTCACCGCTCGGGTGTCTTATAATATTCACGTAAAACTAAGTGTTTGTTTTTCCCAAATTTTTTGGTTTCAAACTTTTTTATCATACGATTAATTAATTATATAATTTATGTTTGAAATGAAAAGTAATATCATATCAATTATTGTTATAAATAGTCACTAAAATGTGGTGTTATATAAGAATAATGATATAATAACTGAAAACGTTTCTCTCACTACTGTTGCTGAGGGCTGTTTAGAAAGTAAACTAACCTCACGTTCGTTGCAATTGTCTTATATGAACTAAAGTTTACACAAATATCTGATATTTTAATAAATGTATGTTTTTGTAAATTGAGACTCACTGGGAATGTGAAAACTTGTCTAGCTATTTTATTATATACAACATATACCGCGTAAATCTCACTCAATGCACTTTAGTTTGTTTTGGATTTATCTAGTTCAATTTTATATGATTTAAGAAATCAAATGGTTTAATATACATAATATCCACTTTATTGCGGATATAAATTAAATGATATTTATTTTGCTAAACATTTGTCTAAAAAATATCATTTGTTTTTATTTTAGTTTAACTTTTTGCTGATATTTATAAATAGAAATAAATAGATATATTTCTATAGAATTAAATTCGGTTCAATAATCCCTGAAATATAAGATATTGTTTATATAAAACTTATATAAAAACAGATATTTTTATAAATATGAAAAAAATGTTGTGTCTTTTAATAGAGGTTTTATTTATCTAAAAAACACATTTTATTACATAATAGAACTTCTATTATAGAAGTAATAGAAAAATAAAACAAAATTTATAGGAATTGAATAGTCGTGTGTATTTGCAACGTGATAATAGTGGTGGAAGTTTCCTAACAATTGTTAGGCTTTTATGTCAAAAATAGCAATTTTTCACGAATATTCTGTGCTTTTCTGTAGCATATAATAGGATTCCCAATGAAAAGCCTTTAAATATGTTAATCATATGTTTTTCTATTTATTTGTTAGTTTGCATTTCCCGACAAAATTTGTTGAACACATTTTGTTATCTTTTTAATTGATATTATTGTAATTATTGAATACATTTGTTACTATATTTGTAACACAATAATAGTTGTAGTAATGATTATTCATACCATTATTATTCGCTGTATTTTGTTATTAATATTAGTAATAATTAATTGGATAATGTGTTTGCAGTACTAGTAATTGTCTAGCAATTTAAACTTACTCTACCGACTAGTTTATGCATACATTTCAACGCCTAATATAGCAATTAGTTTATCACTTGAAAATTGTTTTTGTTTTTTAAACAATATATTCAGTATTTTTACATTTATGAAGTATAATAGGCATGTTCTCGGCTGACAGTGTGTTAACTCTAAAATGCATTTCAAATTAATTTCAATGTCATTATCACGGGTTTCTACTATACATATATGTATGAAATGTATGTAATATACTGTAGTAATAATGTTATGTAAAAGTGTTTTCAATCGATGCCTTTGAGTCGACCTCCAAATGCCTTCAAAAATCTATTTAAACGTTTTGAATGAATGCCAAATGAAATCCCGAAACTTAACTCAACTTTTACACACATTTATTTCAATAAATTATTTTATAACTTTTACACACGTTTATTGCATTTGAATTAAATAAAGGCACACATGAACTAAAACTTTTATATATATGTAATTTACAACTAATTTATTTATAAGACGTCTGACAGCAAATAAACACACATTTTATTTCACAATTCTTGAGTGAATTTATTCCATCAAAATCGGGAGAACTCTCTCCCTCTCTCTCTCTCTCTCTCTCTCTCTCTCTCTCCTCAATGATGTTGTGTTTCAGTTGTTTGTCCCATAAATATATGCGTTTCACAACTCGTGAATTACACGTCAAATACAAGATCATTAAAATATGTGTCGTTTTTCCCCACAATTAAGCATTCCGTCCGTAAAGACGTTTATTTTCATAAAAATACTCCAATTATTGGATGAATTTTAAAGCAAAAGTTGCAAACATTTAATCAATTATTTGTCGTAAAAGCACTGCTCTGTTAGCAAACTATTAGAATATTCTTATGAAAACATTGCATAAAATTCTTTGCAATCTTTGCTTTTTTGTTAAATAAATATCATTTCAAATGAATTCTGAATTCTGTACCAAAAAGTTATGTAAAACATTAGTTCAAACATTAATACGTTTGGTATCAATATTTAATATACTTTTCTCTTAAATCCCAAACTATAGGACCCGTTATCTCATCGCATAATTGAGAAGCGAAGACGGGATCGGATGAACAATTGTTTAGCAGATCTGAGTCGACTGATCCCAACCTCTTATCTCAAAAAGGTATTAATCCATAGCATTGTTAGTGAATGAATATTGCAATAAAACGATTGTAGTCTTCATCTCTTCAGGGCAGAGGACGGATCGAGAAGACAGAGATCATTGAGATGGCCATCAAACACATGAAGCACTTACAGACGCACAAGTACTGCACCGACGACTCCAAGTGCGAGCTCTCCAACGCTCCCAATCTGGACGACGAGGAAAGGGTCAGACAATACCGGTTGGGATATCAGGAGTGTCTGTCCGAAGCCATACGCTTTCTCGTCGAAATGGAGGGCCTCTTCACCGGTGATGGTCTGTGCCGTCGAATGATGGACTATCTTCACAGCCATATGTCTACACTTCATAAAGGTTTGCCATTTGTTTCAATTCTTTTGGTTCCCATTGAATCTCAATTTTGCTCATAATATCCTCTCTTTTAACCCAAACAGTGAATCAAACGGACAAAGAATCGGATGTGAATCTGATGTCGCATTCAATGATAGGCAAACCGCGATCGCCTTCAATGTCAGAGTCGACCACTTCTGCCAACGAGAAGATGGACATCAATGACAGCGAACTCATTGACACCAAACCATACCATTCAAAGCCAATAGTGACGAGTCATTTGCGGGAAATGCTTGAAAGCAGTTCCACAGCCAAGCGCTCCAAATCGTCGCCGGAGATGAGCCTCAGCTCACATTCGCCGCCGGTTTCGCCAAACGGTTTCAATCAAAACGCCGACCAAAACGTGTATAACTTCAAGAAACAAATCAAAGACAGATTTCAGGCCAACCAGAAGGTGGTCGGACCGCCCATGAAGTCGATCTCACCGCTGAACACCGCCATCGATGACGAGCGTATCTCCAACTCCAGTCTGTCTTCGCTGACCACTCAGGCCAGCGATCATCGGAGCGATACATCCGGCTATTCATCGCATTCGTCGACTAAATCGTTGCCGACCGGCGGCGCCCAGCCGTCAGTAGTTGTGCCCATTTTTGCATTGCATCCGTCGGGCAATTATTATCTCCCGCTTACAGTCGACGCCTCACTCATTGGTCCCCAAATGGCCGCCAAAGACACCGAAATGAATTCATACCCAGTCTTACATCCAATCAATATAACGGTTAACTTTAGTTACAAAATGCCACAAATGGCAACTCCTTTGGACTACAGTCAGCCGCCTCTGTGGCCACCGCTGGCCGTTCACCCGAACTTCGGTTTGTCGGCTCAACACATGACAAACGCGATGACAAATAAACTTCATTATAATAACACTTCCCTTTCGGAAAGTAATGTCAAACCATTAGACGCTCTTTGGCTTAATTCTTGTCCAAAGTTTGGCCGAATGTCGGATAAAATTAAATGATTATATTTTAATTGTTATTAATATTAATATTATTTTTCTATTTGTCGAATACTTTTATCAAGTTGTTAATCAAATTGAATGTAATTTTGATCTAATTTTTATTGTGTAAATTATATATGTTTTTAATAACAGGTTTATTTAAATTAATTGTAAATAATAATTAAATGATTGAAATAAGTCTTTATATTTGAAATGAAAAAATTGTGTTAATTTTATAAGATTTTGTTTTAAAAGTTTGAAATAAAGTTTAATTCAATTTTGAAACAAGAATTTCTAAAAATTGATTTTATAAAAAAAAAGTTGCGAAACATTGGCTTAAGTCAGTTATGATCATAACTTATGATTGAAATTAGGATCAATAGAAATACGTGTTGGGAGCAAAACTTCAAGGTTTAAATCATACCTTTTATAATAATAATACACAATTTATTTTGTATCTAATTTATGTAAAACACGTGTCTTTCCGTCCGATCGATAAATTGAATAATTTTTAAAGAATGTAAAGAAATGTCTTTAAAAAGAGAAATAATTTATTTGAATTGAACGCAATTTTTATATAAATTTAAGAAATAAAAGAAT